CCCCAAAACCCCAAAACCCCAAAACCCCAAAACCCCAAAACCCCAGCAAAGAGAATAACAAGGAAGTGAGTGAAAGTGAAATATATTAATGGTATATAGCTAGATGTAAATATATACTTAAATAGATAGTTATTACATTTATCACTACTACTATTACTAGGGCCTTCCTCCTCTACGATGAGGTCCTCCCTGCTTAGACTGAAATTATTGTTACATACCCTCAAAGTTTTAATGCTATGGGTAGTACTATTGTTGGTAGTCAGTCTGCTAGTAGTAGTTTTAAGGTTTGTAAGCGAAGTAATTATTGCTGCTGGTTTCCTTTTGCTAAGGAGTGAAGTTGGCGTTGATGTTTATGCTGATATTCACATTGCTTGAGGTTTGTTTCGTCTGGTTCATGTTGCCGTAATATACATTTGAGTTATCGTAGACTCCCATGTCATGATGATATCCGCCCATGTTAGGTCCTTTCATGTATCCACTTGCTGCCTGTGGGATTGGCATCTTGCCAGGTTTCTCTTTCTTGGGCTTATTAGGGTTCTTCTACTTATTTTAGCCTTTCCCTAGTTTGCCTTGAGAGCCGTCCTTTTATTTCTTATTGTTCTGCCCATACCCACTCTTGTAGTTTTTGTACTAGTCAGGGCATAGTTGAGGATATTGCTTAATGAGTCTATTGTATATTTTTATGCCGAATTCATTCGAATGCTTCAACCTTTCAAGATCAGGTTTCAGTTTTTCTATAAATTGAGAGAAGTATGGCTCAACAGCAACTGACAAAGACTTTTGGATCACATAGTTTCCATATTAGTCTAGTAGGAAATCATAGAAGGTATCAGCTTGCAATATTTCTCTAACCATAGACTCCTTGATATCGCTGGCATTGTGTTCTAAACACTTTTCAATAACATTTGATGAGAACTTCTCCATGCCCAGCAGAAGTAGAGAACCTAAAAGCTTTTCACCTATTCTCTTATTAACCTCCACCATTTTAAGTTCTAAGACATATTGAACAACATAGTTTCCGTAAGGGTTTCTGACGAATACCTGAGTGTGATCTCCGATTCTAAGTGTCAAGGCTAGCTTCTATTGAGGAGTGGCTCCATCGATGCACTTTTGCATAACACAACAACCATGCTTATGACAAGCTATCTCTACGCATTTTTCCATCATTGCTTCGTAGATAAACTGATTATGCTAGGCTTTCCAGGTAAAAAGTATCTTTTATATCACGTGATTACCATTAATATCCTCAGCTAGTTCCTGGACCTTTTCCTTCAAGTAGTTAGCCAATAGTTCAATCTGAGCTGGCGACTTCACGATCTCTATGATCTTCTAGATTGACCTTGTGCCGTGAGAATTTCTGCAAAGCCCTACTGGATCCTCTCTAACTTTATGTATGATATCTGTTAGTTAGTCCTCTCTAACTGTTTCAGTAAGTTTCTAAGCTAGATAGTTTCCAAAAGGATCGTTCATCAGATCCATAAAGTTTTCAATAGTATGAGTGAAGATCTTGTCAATTACTTCTCTGTTGTTCTCCTCTATTTTCTTTTGCAAAAATCTACATCCTCCCTAATCTTTGGCTAAAACTGTGGAAAATTCTAGAAGCATTAGCATCTCCTTGTCTGGTAGAGTTTCATGACCCTCTAGAGTCTCAAATGTAGAGATAAGATTGAATTTTTTGGCTATCTAGGCAACCGTCAAATGGTCTGTGGTCTTTGAAGGGGTAGTACTGAAGGACTTTTACAGAACTACGTTTCTATGAGGAGAAGATATGTTCTTCTATGGACTTATATTAAATACTTCTTGTTAATTTTATGTCTGATTTTACTATTATTGCTTAGTTTATGATTTATTTTGTTTTGCTTTGTAAACAGCTTGAGGTGACGTATTCAACATTTAATTTGCATCATTCATGCTGTGCTTCATATCTTGATGCTATTGAATGCTTCCTAGGTTTGTGAGGGCGATGTGAGAAATATTTTAACCCATTTGAAGTATTTACTACTCTAAAGAATTTAAATGACTAGTCTGCTACTGGTTTAAGTATTACTGATGTTGCTACTATTGCTGATGTTAGCTTTAATTGGAAAAGTGAATCTGTTATGGAGTCTGATGATAGTTCAATCTTTCATTATTGCTACTATACTATTACATATCTTCTTAGGTAACAACCTCACTTTAAGCTTTACTTAATTGGTATGACTGCAATGAATCTTTAATATACTAGGTTGGTAGAATTGTATTTTACTGTCCAGTTTATTAGTTATTATTGAAGCGAGACTTGTAGTCATTGTTATGTTCTTGCTCATCTTCAAAAATCTATGGCAAAGTTTGCTTGCTTAAAAAAGTACTAGATCTAGTTCTTTTTCTCATACTAATACCAGTTCCCTAGGCATTTGGATACTTAGACTCCTCCTCTTCTTCTATTCCATCAAGGAATTTATTCACATAGTCTTAATACTTGAAGGGTTCACTCAGCATATCAAAGTTTGAGGATTTCCTTCTTTGGCGCATACTTTATCGGGTGGGGGACTCAGTCGGTTCATCATTTAAATCGCTGGATATTGTTGATAAACGCTACCTTCTTCTAATTAATGTCGAGGGGTCTACTTATTTTATTTTGCCTGTAGAGAGTCTGACCTCAGGAGAGTTTGAGTTCCCACTATCATTAGATTTAGTATACACTGGAGTGGTTCGATCCTAAATGTATTCAGGTAAGTTTTAAGACTCTCGTTAATTTTGAGTGTTTTAATTATATAGTCCTTTTTCTGCCAAAGTTTAAGTTTTCAATTGACTTAAAAGTTCAGTCTCATCAAAGGCGGTAATAGGCTCGGGCATATGCTTAATTTCACCTCCATCGTATATTACATTCATGCTTAGTTAAGGATTAGGGGAAATCTGGCTGGCAATTATCGGTAAAATTTTATTGAAAGCAGGCGATCTTGTCTATTGCTGTTATAACTATATTTGAGCTTGAATGTCCTACATTTGATGATGTTGCTGCATATCTTCAACATTTTCATTTGTTTTCTTTTAGTTCTAGCCAATAGTTTATAAATTTCATTTAATTACCTTAAGCTGGAGATAGAATTCATTATAGTTTCCATCCATTCGCATCGGCATGAACCCCTTGGTGAAATTTCTCGTGAAATGATCATCTTCCTAATAAAGACGTCAAAATCTAGTATACACGTACCTGGTACAGAAATAAACTTTGAGAATCAAATTTTGGTGGTGCCGAACACGACCTGTCATTGGCTGGCTTTGTGTACTCGTTTTCTTGGAAATTATCATTGCCATTTGCATAACTCTGCTGCATAGGGTTGGCTATTTCATGGGCATAATTAAAATTTTGCTGATAAAATATTGGCTGCTGCGGCAGTGTATTATTATTCTAGTTCATTAATCTCTTCGCTTGTCTTTGCTATTTAAGATTTTAATTAATTAGCAATTATTAATAAAATAACCACTCATTGCTGAACACTCGGGGTTTTGGGGTTTTGGGGTTTTGGGG